TACATTTTAAGGGTATTTTTAGAGGAGGGCATCCTTCTTCTTCATGTTAACACTTTGAGATGTACTGTCACACTAATGTGGTTTGTTTAACGATGGTGATGCAGCAGTCTGTTTTCACAGTAAGTTACTTTATGTTAGTCTGAATGTTCTGCTTTTCTTGGTTCTCAGAAACATGACTGTGAAATGTGAGGCCGTCATTAAGTTTCTGTTCCTGTCATCTTGTTGTTTCATTTTGTTTTTGTGTCTCTTTGTATGTTGATCTCAAACAGACAAGAAACGGAATTAGAAATAATTAAGACTTCAACAACTGACTGAGTAACGCAAATATTTTTAAAAATCCTTGACCCAGTTTTTTTACTTCAATGCTTCATTTAATGCACGACTTTCTAGAGTCACTATGGAGACAGTATCATCCACAGCAGCAGCACTTGTAGCTGTAATCACAAGTGTCGATCTGCAGGACCCATGACCTCTATACAGAAGTCTGACTGATCAGTCCCACCTGATAATCGTAGATCCCCTGTCGCTCATGGCACTTCTTATTTTTGGGCTTAACTTTAGAGGCCTGAACAGCAGGCCCTAAGGGAAGGTTATAATTAAAAATGTTAGAGTAACCTCTAAGAGCTATTTGCACTAATAAAGACGAATAAACTTCACTGTTCCTTTACTGTGCATGATGTCTGTATTCACTTTTGTCTACATAAAAGTAACTTATACAATTTCTGGTGATTTATTCTTTTAACGTTTTCATGATTTTCAGCTTTTCCAATCACTTACAATTTAACTTTTACTTCTCACATGATGCTTCCAGGTAGTTTAACTGAAAAAAACGTATTTGTGAACCATAATTTTCCTCTTTTTAGCTCCAAGAAAATGTTTTTCTTCCAAGAGCCTGATGAGGAATCTCATCATTCTCATTTACTCTAACCTTTCTGACACGGGGGGTGAATGTACTAGAAGTTTGGACAGATGCACCAGTAGCAATGCTAGTTGTAGTACTCAAAGGACCAGATGTTGATTTGCCAGATGTGGTGAAAAGTGGAGCAGATGAAGGGAAAGATGTAGCATTGGTAGGGATCAGTGAATTAGATGTGGAAGAAGAAGACAAAGGTGTTGAATCTGAAGGAATAGCGGTGGTTGTAAGAGAATGAAATATATTCTTCTTACTGTTCTCAGACTCTCTGCATTCAGATTTACAGGCAGCTTCTGAGTCAAGGTGAGCGACATTTGTATTTGTAGGACATTCTGTTCCAGAAAATGCTTCAGTTCCCAACTCTGTGTGGAGTTCTCCCAAGGTCTTTGTATCCAGATATTCATCTGTGTTGTTGCCCCAGTGTGCACTTGCCAGCCATTTGTTCTGACTGTCACTGTAACAGCCGACCAGAGCACTGAAGAAATATTGATCTTGTTGTCGGGCCTGTTGTTGCTGGGCTGTGCTCCAATAACTACAAAGCCTTCTTTATTGTTTTTCTTTTTTGTTTTGTTTATGCAAAACAATTCAGAACACATCTGATGCATTTCTCCATTCAGTTCCAGCTTTGTTGAACTGGCCTTGTTGGGAAACAATGTTAGTCAATGTAAAAGTAGATATTTTTTTCTAAATCAGTAGAGCTATAAGAGCTTGGAAACAAGTGTCTTCTGTCAAATCATTTTATGTTTTTGTAGTCTTCATTCATAGCCTGGTGGTTGTAGTCGATACTGTCATTTGATGTTCTCATATTCGGATTGTCAGTTATGTTTTCAAGCGGTCAAAATCAAAAGGATAGATTAGTGATGCATGCATGGTTGTTGCTAAATAGATTAACAGATTAAAAGAGTTAAGTTATCACCTCAGGATAATTTATTTCAGCTGCTTTAGCTTTTTTTTATTTACAGAGCAAACTGTGAGGTCCTGCACACTGTAACCAGCAGATTTCAAACACAGCACCCCCAGGCCCTTTTCCTGATCTCTGGGGACTTTAATCACTTTAATCAACTGTGTGGCATCCTAGGATATCTGGTCAATCTGAGCCTGTCGCTGGGGAAAGTTCCACAGCTGTGGAAGACCTTGTAAGGAATTTCTTTCATTTATGTATTGATCACATTGTTTATTAGTAATGCTTTAAGGTCACTGTTTTTGCATGCCTACCTCACACCCTATTCAATCGCTTAGACAGATGGTGGGGGTCTGGTAAGGAAATGGGGACATTCACACGGGAAGCCTGGCAACACAGGCAGTGAAGCCTTTTGTCTTTTCTCCACTGTAAGAAGTAGCAAGTGAGTGGTAAACTTTGGGGGAAAGACCAAAGGTAAAGCTGTGTACTCCCTTGTGTTCCTGTAGGAGGTATTTAAACCCAGGGCCATGCTGGGCTCAGGTAGAGACTCTGCCGATCCTCTGCCCCGCAATGATGGCT